GCGCGCGGGGGCCGCGGGCGGCGACGGCGGGTCGAGGAGGGACGACGAGGAGGAGGCCCTCCGCGGGCGGCCGAAGCCGGAGGTCACGGGCGGCTCGGGGAGGAGCGCGGGCTGCGGCGAGCCCCGGAAAACGCCCTCGAGGTCCGCGAGGGCCTCCTCCTCGTCGTCGTCGAGCTCCCGCGACCGCCGGAAGCGGACCTCCGCCGCGCCGAGCCGCGCGACGACGCCGCCGTCGCCCGGAGACCGGTGCAGCGCCGCGGCGACGTAGTCGTTGAGCAGGTCGCCGCTCCGCGCGTGCGGCGCCGCGCCCTCGCGGAATGCGGCGCACAGCGCGTCGCAGAAGGCCTCCTCCTCGTCGTTGAAGTCGCAGGTGCGCCAGGCGGGGAGCGGCACCTCGAAGAGCTCGATGCTCGTCGTCCGCTGCGCCGCCGGGAGCAGGTGCGCCGAGGGGATGGGCGGCTGGAAGCGCATGGACAGGTCCACCATCGCGGCGGTGTGAGTGCCGAGCAACGTGCGCGCCGCGGGGGCGGATACGCGCCGAAGGCGATGCTCCTCGAGACGTCGGAGAGCAAGGCGCGGAGAGATTCAACACCATCAACACCGGCTTGATCGGTTTGTTGAGCTTCTCATTCAAACGATGGCCGCCCAAGTTCTCTCACCGCGCGCGCCCAGCGTCCGCCCCCGAACCGCTCACAAACCGCTCACAAACTCGCCTGAGACATGAGTCGACAACGCCACGCCGCGCCGCCGCGAGTTTTCGCGCGCGCGCGTCGATATCGACGCGAACGCGCGACCCCGCCGTTGCTACAGGTCCAGCGCCGTCGACGGCGCCTACCTCACGGACCGGAGCGCGTCGCTCGCGAAGTCGATCAAGGACGTCGAGGGCGAGCTGCTCCAGGGCCAGGGCGCGCGCGGGCGGTCGGACGCGTCGCTGCGCGCGCGGTCGCGCGTCGCCGAGCTTCGCCGCGCGCTCGGCGCGACGCTCGGTCCGCTGCTCGCGG